AATTGAAAATATCGATTTATGGTTTGAAATGGGCTTCCAGACAATGGTACTTGAAATTTGACGAGATGGTGACTTCCTTGAATTTTCAAGAAAATAAAGTTGATCAATACATCTATCTTAAGGTCAGTGGGAGCAAATTCATCTTTCATGTGTTGTATGTTGATGATATTTTGCTTGCGAGTATCATGAGAGTAAACTTATGCTAACCAAGTTCTTTAATATGAAAGATCTCGATGAAGCATAATTTGTGTTGGGAATTGAAATACATGGAGACAGATCATGTGGTGTACTTGGTTTGTCCCAGAGGACTTATATTGATAGAGTCTTAGAGAGGTTCAATATGCAGAACTGTAAGCCATGAGATTGTCCAGTTACTAAAGGTGACAAATTCAGTAAAGATCAATGTCCTAAAATGAGATTGAGCGGGCAAAAATGAAGGGAAAACCCTTTGACAATGCATTAGGCAACTTGATATATGCTCAAGTATACACTAGGCCTGACATTGCTTTCATAGTTGGCATTTTGGGACGATATCAGTCTAATCCTATGAATGCTCATTGGATTATTGTTAAGAAAGTGATGAGATATTTGCGAAGAGTTAAAGAGTATATGCTTGTTTTTAGGAGATGGAAAGTTATATTTTAATGAAGGATATAATAATCGCCATGATTTGATACTGTCTGGCTTTTGTTGGACTGAGTGATATTCATATATTGCATATGTAGTCATGCATTTTCATAAAATACGACCATATTTTAAGAAATTGGTCATTAATCCGAGAGTCAATTTCAAATATATGTTTTTAAAAATAAAAATCACACAATTGATTTTTTCCAAGTGGAAGAATGTTAGATTTATCTAATATTTTGTGGGCTGCATTCAACTGTTATTTTGGTTTGTGAAAACGGGTTAATCTTGATTTTGATGGGGGTGCATAAATAGGCTCATTTATTGGTTAAGTGGTCTTTTTAATTAAAGTCTAGGTATCTGAAACCTGATTGGTGTGAGAAAAGTGTGGGTTTTAACCTTTGACTCATAATGGGTAGGGACTAAGGTTATATGTTTTGTGGTTAGGTCCCATATGTAATTACAAAATCGGAAATATAACTGACGACTCCATAGCTTGCCCCATTGAAAGTTGTGAACAAGAGTGTGAGATATAGATGAAGATCCAATCACTCATGTTTTTTAGGATTTCGTATCAAATGGACCCAAATGACAACTCTTATTCTCAAAATCATGACTTCAACAAATAAGTGTTGATATTATAATTTCATATGATTAATCAGTAATTTTTCCGCTTATAATTCATGTTATTCAACATTCTTATCCCTTCTTCAATATTTAGATAAATGGGTTATAATAGTTATTTAAACCAAAATTTGAGTTTTATTTTTTAGAATAATTTATCTTTTTGTTTTTTAAAAATATTTAATAGCTAATGTATTTAAACAATAACGTTAAATATGTTTATGGTACTTTTAAATATATCAAAATTCGTTTTTGTCCCTCAAAATATTTTCTTAAAAAATTGATTCTTCTAAAAATTTACATCCACAATTTTGATCTCTCTTGTAATTTAATGATAAAATTAATGATATTTTATTATTTAACGACTGAATTATCAACAATTTTAACGATAATTATTTTTTTTATTATGAAAAATAAATAAATTATTATTTCCAAAAAAAATTAGAAAGAATTTCTTATAATATGCAAAAACAAACAATAATATATTCACATAATAATTTAAGCAACATCATCAACAATTTCCTCATTATAGACATCAAAATACTATTGATGTCATGTGTCTACAACACTAATTATTAAGTCACACGTTTAACTGATTTAAGAAACATCCTCAACAATTTCCTCATTATTTTTTCTTGGTTTCGAGTATATTTGTTGGATTCTCTATCCATCATCACTTCACTCTCTTTCCTACCTTTTCTTTCTTGTCCAACTTTTTCCCTTTCCACTCCCAAAATTTCCAGACAATGCAAGCTCAACAACCATTACCCACTCATAAAGCTCCCATGATTTCCCACCAGGTTCTCCTCTCACTATTAACATCTTAGTCACTATAAAGTTCCTTGCTTTTCATTTTTGTGGGTTTGTAGTAATTGGTACTATCTGATTTTCTGTTTTTTTTTTATTTTATTTTTTATGTTTGATCTAATTTATATAAAGGGTTTTCCAATTTTAGCTTATTATTAAGTGTCTCCTAACAAAAAGCCTTTTTTTTTTACTGAATTTTGATTCTGTTTCTATATTTAGAATATTGATGTTTCGATTGTGAGGTGTGAGAGTGTGATTGAATTCAAACACGCGTGATTTTTCGATTTTAATGCTTGAATTGTTAACTTAGTTGAGAGTGTTTTGAGGTAATGCATGTGCTGCAAATTAGATCTGTTGGCAGTGGCAGTGAATGTTGAAAAGTGTAATTTTAGCTTAAGAAAAGAGGGGTAAAAGCCATGCATGGGGTTGTTTTATTATGCAGGGAGAATTTTAACCAGGAACACGACACTAACACTGACATATCGACACCGGTAATAATTTGAAAAGATGAATAAATTAAAGTAATCACAAGTGTCACATGCATTTTTTTCAGAGGTGTCGGTGCTATATAGGTTTCCGATAATGATATGCTTGTTGAGGATGATTAGTATTCATCACAGAATCGTGTTGGGAGGAGATCTTTTGAAGTTCTTGCATTGTATTTTTCACTTTCAGCGTGATTTTCTAATTGTGTAATACTTTATATGATATATTTATGTGCTATTTATACGCATTATGGATATTCGCTCAGACGAAATTATTCTATGTTAAACTGCTTTTGCTGTATGCAGACCGAGACCGGGATAAAGAAAGAAGTTGCATATAGTGGAGTCAGCGAAAAACGTCCAGATATTTCACTTGAAGTTCCACCTAGACCTTTAGGGTTTGGTAGCGGTAGCACGCGTGGGCGGGTTCTGGACCATTCTCAAAGTTTCTCTAAAGTGATATCATCACCAAAAGACTTCTTGCGGGCTTTGAGCTTCAAAAGAAAAGAAAATGTAGTAGATGGTGAATCAAGCAGCCTCCTTAATACAGACTTTAAGACAGCTCCCGACAGTACTAGAATGGCCTCGATATCGGAAATTTCATGGTCAAGATGTACTTCTCTTCCTGTTTCACATGCACCTAATCTGTCCCCTTTAATTGCTACACCTGTGTCTGCGAGGACGTATAATGAACAACAGATTAAGCCACATGTAAGTCTTTTTCTATTTCATTGAGTTTCCTTGTTTGTAAACCATGCTTTGCCTTTTGATATTGGAGTTTATTGGGAAAGAAATGATTGTTGTTAACTTTGTGCAGAAAGATGTTAAATCTAAGGTTTCAAGGTCCCTTTCAATACCTGCACGAAATGTTGTTATTGTAAGATCTGTCTCTTTTGTTAACCGCAATGAACAAGAACAACAAGATACAAATGACGGTATGTGATTCATTTAGTTATGCTACTACAGTTTCAAACAACCCTAGATTTTTTTTCTTGACCTGTTTATTTGTCATCGGCTTTAAGTCATACTAAAACAAAATTTCTTGGCCAATCAGATCAAATAACTCCTGCGCCAGTAGAAGTTACTGAGGATGAAGAAATTCCGGAAGAGGAAGCGGTGTGTAGGATATGTCTTGACACGTGCGATGAAGGAAACACCTTTAAAATGGAATGCAGATGTAAAGGTGGTCTAGCTTTGGTGCATGAGGAATGTTTAATCAAATGGTTCAACACAAAAGGAAACAAGAAATGCGATATATGCTTGGAAGAGGTTCAGAATTTACCGGTAACCTTGCTCCGCATGTCCAGCTCTGTTCAACAAAGAAACAGACAGTTGCAGGATCGCCAAAACATAAATTCAGAGACACTAAGGTGATTTTGAAATCCATGTTTTCAACTTAAGTTATCAATGTTATTTTCTCTGCTTTTAGCATAGATACTTTTTGCATAACTGATTATAAGTGTCGTTTTATTTAAACTTATTTAGTATTAATTTCGCTTCGTTTTTCCAGTGCTTGGCAAGACTTTGTGGTGCTTGTCCTGATAAGCACAATATGCTATTTTTTCTTCCTTGAACAACTATTGGTATGTCTATTTCCTTTGATATATACTACGGCGTGTACTTGATCTTTTAACTCGTCTGGTTCCTTTTAAGCATATAATTCATATTAGATAAGAGATAATTTCTCCGTACTCTGATCTTAGTTTTGTCTCACTGTTCTCAGCTTCCTGATATGAAGACTCAAGCTATCATTTTATCGGCACCGTTTTCCTTTACCTTGGGCCTCCTAGCATCTGTTTTTGCAATCGTCCTTGGTATAAACTCTAAAACAAACCTGAATATTTTTTCTCTCTTAATTATAACAATGTCGTCCTTTCTTTGAGTGCTTACTTACGTTTTTGCAGCGATCAAAGAGTATATATGGACATATGCTGCCCTTGAGTTTGCACTTGTGGCTTTAACTCTGCATCTGTTTTATACTTATGTAAGTTAGAATGTTGAGATTTATTTATAATGATTAATTCAGTAAACCATAACCTCGTTACTTTGTTGCAGTTGCATTTGGCAGCCATTTATTCCATACTACTTTCAACGATTTTGGGTTTTGGAGTTGCAATGGGAATCAACTATTTGTATATCCAGTATGTGACATGGAAATTTCAGGTCTCTACTAATGTTATTCCAGTATGAATCTCCTCGGAAAGAAAGCATCTTGATGATTATCTTTGTACCTACTATCAGTGTCTAGTACGAACTTCGAGTTTGTTGATCAACTGGTTTTAGACTCGTGCAATGCACAATGACGTTCGACTGTTATGAACCTAGTGCAATATAAAGTGCCAAAATGAATGTAAAGATAGAGTAATTATGCATAAATAGCACCAAATCAGAATCAATAAGTTGTCAAAAAGAAAAGTTAGAGCAGGTGGATGAACAAAACCATTCTCTAATTTGTATATGCAGGGAATCAAGAAATTTCATTGGCATTTTCAGTTTCAGATTGGAAGCAAGGAGATGGTTACTTTTGCAAAATATAGTTGGAAAAAACTTAAGTTTTCACACTTTATTCCAAATTGGCTTTTCAGTAGTTCATGTGCAACTAAGGCAACAATTTGCCAAATCTATATATTCCATTTGGTTTTTTACAACACAGATCCAAAAAAGCAAAGTATTTTAAGATATAATAACGTTAGAAAAGTAAACAAGAACTTAAAAAATAATGATAAATATGATAACCTTAATTTGGGAAGTTGGAATCCAAGTCCCTTTCATCAGGAGAAATGCTTATCTTATACACAAAGGAAAACCAAGTTAGTTAAGTGAGATAATGTGGAATGTTTTGAATTTTGTCTTTGCAACACATGTATAAAGCCTATAAAAGAGCATCTTTAACAACACTATAGCTATTGCATGTCATGCTTTCCACTTCATTCTATATTCTGATTTAGTTTTTATCATATTTAGATGACTTAATTTTCACTTTAGAGTGAATTCAATCCTAGCATATTCTTTTTACTTCCTCCAAGCTTCAACACATAGTTTAGAAACAATAAAATAATATGCAAAGTGGCTAGTTTTCTCCTATATATATAAAAGTACTAATGAAGAAGTAAGATAACTAATCAAGCTCTTCATTCTCACTCACAAAGCTAGCTCATAAAATGGCTGAGATTGAGTTTGAAAGTCTGTTTAATCATGCCGTGAGAGGACAATGGAAAGAAGTTCTAGAATTATATGAGAAAAACCCTGAAGTATTGGAAGCAAAGATCACAAAAGCAGAAGACACAGTGTTACACATTGCTGTCTATGTAAGCCAAACCTTCTTTGTAACAACCTTGTTAGATAACATAAGCCAAAACATGTGTAGGAACATCCTAAGAATGCAAAACTCAAAGGGAAACACTCCCCTTCATGTTGCAGCTGAGCTTGGGAATGTAGACATTTGTAACAACATTGCCAAAAGAGATCCTACCCTCATTTCGTACCGAAATTTCGAAGGCGAAACTCCTCTTTTCTTGGCTGCTGTTCATGGCAAAAGAGATGCTTTCCTTTGTCTTCATGGTAGACATCAGAACAAAGATGATGACTCAATCTCAAGAAAAAACAATGGAGATACCATTCTTCATTCTACCATATCCAGTGAATACTTTGGTTAGTGTCATTGCAATACGCCCTTCTATATATTAACTCAATCAAATTAATTAAGTGCAATGATGAACTTGATACTGATATATAGATTTGGCCCTTAAAATAATTGGAATGTATCCAAAGCTTGTGAATTGCGTAAACCATGAAGGACTATCACCTCTGCATATTCTTGCTAAGAAGCCTAATTGTTTCAGAAGCTGCACAAGGATGGAGTTAATCGATAATATCATCTACGCTTGTAAAATCACTTTTCTATGCTAATTTATATGATTTCTTCTTTAGAAAGTAATCATATTTGAGTACTGTCGAATACTAAATATGTGTCTCGCTCAAGGAAGAAAGATCCTTGTGTAATAACATGTGTTTGTGTGAATGTCAGGTTCGATTGTTGATGAGGAAAAGGAAGAAAGATATGACCAAAGTTATAATATTTCAGCGCACACAGAGACTTCAAAGAACTATCCATTGAACTATGGAACATGCATGACCTTCTTTTCTTTGTTGAATAGTTGTTTTAAAGTAACAAGTATGTCAATTTTGTTTCATTTATTACTCTCTTTTTTACTTATAGTATAGTTAATGTATTAAACTCTAACTCATCTATCATTTTTCTGTTATATTACAGCCACAGGAAAAGATACTGATGCTGCGGAAACTACTGATGAAGAGAATAGTTTCTGGCGAAAAAACGGTATTATAATTTCCTCTTGTAAACCATGGTGCACAATGTGTTTCATTTCAATATGCATAGTCATTTCAAATATTAGTTTTATGATAATGACATCTATTTTATTTCTCAAGAGCAAGGGCAAGCAGAGAAAAAAAAGAAAAATTACAGGTTCCCTCCAAATTGGGAATCCATGATCAGATTGTTAATCCTTACAATGAAGTCCATCCTAATCCTTTTCGGTGTTGGTAAGTACATAAAATAGCAATGCATTAGTCTTCTCATAAGAAAAGACTTGTGTCTTTTGTTTGTTTAACTGAAGTAGCATTTTCGTAGGATCGACGTGGATAGAGAAAATACAAAGAAAGAAAGAAAAACACATTCGAGCAAAGCAAGTGATGAATGAACTGATTCAGCGTGCTTCTTTGTATAAGTATGATTTTACAGGACCAGGTCCTCATGGTGAAGAGTATGATGACGATGATGATGACACAGGTAAAATAAAGAGCAAAGCAGAAAAAGAAGCTGCTGAGAAAAGAAGAATGATGTCACCTATTTTAATTGCAGCGAAAATGGGAGTAACTGAAATGATTGAGAAGATTCTAGATATGTATCCTGTGGCTATACATGATGTGGACTATCAGAACAAGAATGTTGTTCTGTTGGCCATAGAGAATAGGCAACCTCATGTGTATAGTTTGTTAAATAAGAGAAGTGTAATCAAAGAAACTGCGTTTCGTCAAGTCGATAGCAATGGTAACAGTGCATTACACCTTGCTGCTACTTATAGGAGGTTTAGACCTTGGCGCGTACCTGGTTCTGCAATGCAAATGCAGTGGGAGTACAAGTGGTATAAGGTAAATAATATTAGAAATCTTCACAAACTAGCAATTGATCATGTCTAGCTACTAATGATGTTTGTGTTTTTCAGCTTGTTAAGGACTCCATGCCACCAAATTTCTATGAACGTTATAATATGGATGGGAAAACAGCAAAGCAAGTCTTCATTGATACACATGGACAGCTTGCAAAAGAAGGTAGTAAATGGCTCACAAAAACCTCGGAATCATGTTCAGTGGTAGCAGCACTTGTTGCATCAGTTGCATTCACAACCTCAACAGCTATCCCAGGTGGTCCTAATCAAGAATCTGGTATACCACTATTGCTAAAAAAGCCTGCATTCAAACTCTATGCTGTAGCATCACTTGTTGCACTTTGCTCCTCTGTCACGGCCCTTATTCTGTTTCTTTCAATACTGACGTCTCGGTTTCAAGAAAAGGATTTTGTGGTGGACTTGCCAAGAAAGCTTCTTCTAGGATTGACTACACTCTTCACATCTATAGCATCTGTGTTGGTGTCATTCTGTGCAGGGCATTTCTTTCTTGTTGAAAGCCAGCTGAGATTTGCAGTTTATCCCATATATGCTGCCACATGTTTGCCTGTCTCATTTTTTGCTTTGGTTCAACTCCCACTGTATTTTGATCTGGCTTTGGCTATGTTTCGGAAGGTTCCTCAGCGCAGCTACAAAGTGTTTTTTCATGAGTTGCATCATCATCATTAGTCCAAGTCACTCTTGTTCTTTCATAAGTAGTAATCAAATCCTTTAGACAATTGGTCGGTAATAGATAATTGCTATGAAGCACTTTTGGTACTCAGTGTGCACTCACTTTAATCCATTACAATTAGGTGCATATTTAATTGACATTACATTAATATCATTTCACAGTTTCATCTTACTGCTTTAAGAGGTGATCACAGGCTGCGTAAACTTGTCCCACAAAATAAAAAGGGATAAAAACAGTTCTCATTTTACTAGGTTTTATAAACCAAAAGTGGAGTCAAGTTGAGCTTCTAATTATCTATTCCAAACTGAGGCAACCATGAATCACAGAATGATGGGATTGTATTTCTTGCTCTTATTATATATTAGCGTCACAACTGAGAGGAAAGAAGGCAAAAACATATTTCACATTATTCTCCATGACAAACATACATTAAACAAATTGTCTGGATATGAGCCAAGAAATATCTACATGTGACCTAAACTATAAATATCCATGAGGAAAATTGAGCTAAGAAACAAACAACTCTAATTGCATTTAGTCACAGGAGTAAATTTTCTATCATCTCTTTTCAACCATATGGTGGAACGGGTTTTCTTCACGTGTTCAGCAAAAAGACGATGCCTGCAACCAAGAGGTGCGTATCAGGAATTGACTACCATAAATATTAGCATGCATTATCTTAATCATGAAATCTACAATCTAGAGGAAGCAATTGTGTAGAAGCACATTAGAAATTAAAATGTTGAGTTGAGAGCAGAAATTCCTGCATAAGGAATTGGCTCTTCAAAAAAGTTCTAAAACCCTTCTACCCCAAAGGACAAGACCAGTGTCCAGTGAAAACACTGTTCCCCACAGAACGATTCAAGTTCCCTAATAACACGAGCACAAAGACTAACAGACCTTTCATACTCCAGCTTCTGAGTAACTATGCCATTCAACAATAATTCTGAACTGTACACCATTGCCCCTGCAATTGCAACATATAGCATTTTAATTTTGTGCAGAGGATATGTTTTTAAAGTCGAAGGAACCAGCTTCTAACCTTTTTCAAGAAAAGGCACACAAGAGGCATAATCTTCTTCACAGGATAGGATCAGAAGATCATCTGGAATTTTATGGTCCTTCAAAGCAGATCTGCCAACTCTCTCCACGGCCTAGGAGACACAGTCACGGGCAAAGAGATATTAAGGGAGAGAAAATAGTTCAATCATATGAACATAGATCTGTACTTCTGCGCCCAGAAGACAACAATAGACGGTTTCATGACTAAAAATCTTTAATGAACCACAATACTGATTAATAATAAAATATAAATTACAACAAAGTTGACAAAGAAAACTTGTTTAATCTAGGAATCTTTCAAAGAAAAACCTGGAAACGAGGCAATATCCAAACACATGTTTTCTTCAATCACATATGAACATAACTTTAGATTAATTAAGGAGAGAGATGCATACCTGACCATGAACTGCTGTTACTAAACTTGAAATGATCTCTTTACTAGGTTTAATATTTGAGGTGACAAATACTCTTTGACCCTGCAGAAAATTATGATGATTTATCATGAGCAACAGAAAGAAAATGCATATGTTTGTATCTGAAATAGGCTTAATTAAGTTTTTGTCCTTTCCTAGTTTGACTTCAACTTTGATTCACTTAGTTTTGGTGTAGTAATTTAATCCCTTCTAGCAATTGATGAGACTGACTACCTTTTGCTGATATTAAAAGTAAATTTTACAACACCTTGTTTGTTAACAGGATACAAGCAGATGACACAGCGCAATTTCGCATCAGCAAAAGGTATAAGATCAACACCCAAAATACAGGTTATTTAGTTGCACCAAGTTGAAAAATAAAGTGACGACGTTGTTACAATTGATGCTAGAGGGGCATCAAAGAAAAGTTAAGTTAAGAGGATTAAGTCTTAGTGAGACATGCATATATAAAACAACCAAGTCTTTATATCATTGGTAGGGTTTGCAAGGCATATATACAGATGTATGGTTCAAATTAAGTGAGGTCGGATGTGTAATATGATCAAGCGATACTTGCATAGATGGTCAAAAATGGAAATTACTTAAGCTGTGTAAGTGTGATCCTTTAATAAGATCAAATAGTGACAATAATGAGTTCTATTTTACCTCTAAAAGCGGATGCTGGGTTGCCCGTGCTAGTGAGACTGGCATGCTGAAACCAAATTCCTTTTCCTTTTTATCATCCCTCAATATGTAATTTCTCTCATCAATAAAACAGTTGGCTTGTCCACAGCTCTCAACCCATAAGTGTGTGACCACCGGTTTGCCAAAGGCAATAGCTTCTAACATATTCCGTGTACGCACAAATTGATCAGTTACAAAATGAGTTGCATCTGCAATTGAGGATGCTACAGAAACTCCAAGCCGTGTGAGTATCTGTAGTAAACATGAGAAACAATTTAACTTTAACGCAGCTACATGTATGTATTAGACAATAGGAGTTTATAAAAATCCAGACCTTACCTTTTTCTGATGCTTAACAATATCTTCATCCAAATGGTGGCTGTAAAGAACTCGAACATCAGCCATATCCTTCCTCTTCCTTGAATCCTTAGAGGGAGTAATTAATTCAGGTCTAATGGCATTTAAGCTACTAAGTTCTTTACGAAGATCCCCGCGAAATACTTTGAGATGGCATGCTCTTGAAAATTTTCTTTTGTGTGATTGTTTGTAATAATCATCACCCATGCAAACAGGTGATGCGTCGTCCACCGGTGTCTTACAGTTAGCTGGAGATGTGGTAGCCATGCTAGGTGTCTTGTACCCATCTCTTAGTGATTCATCTACAATGGTAACCTCCAAATTTTTGGTGGACGAGACATTTGCATTATTTTTAACATTTGAGTTCAAATTGGACTCCAAAGTTTTTCTTGGCATTTGGTCATCAGAAGGTACTACCAAACCATCACGTGAAGATGAAGGACTGTAGTTATTCACATGAGATTTGACACCAGAATTTGTCCTCATTTTTCTCTTCCCAGCAGTAGATTTTCCGATATCTTCAGTTGGCTTGGATGACTTAGATGATCCTTTCCCAATATCTCCGCTTTGCTTGAATGACTTAGACGAACCAACTAAACTTTCAGATCCATTGTCATGATTAGAAAACCTCGTAATCCTAAGAGATCTCCTTCTTCTAGGGTAATCTAAGGTATCAACAGAAACACCATTACTAACACTAACAACATTTTCCTTTGAAGCAAATTTCTCCTGTTGACACAATTTAGTAGTATCATCTACTGCTAAGTGATCAGAAGACCCCGGAGTAGGTTTATGACCCAACCCTTCAGACGGTTGTAGACCAACTCCACTACTTTTCTCATGGGGGTCAATCCCTGTTGCCCCTTCTCTCACTGCTAAGGACTGTCTAGTTCTACGAGCAACTGGTGTACAATGAAAAACTTCATCCTGAACTCGCTTTCTATCAACAGTACTCCCTCCATCATTACTTTCAAGATTATTTAACTCATCAACATGATGTCTTTTTAAAGCTTCAGCTGACTTTCTTCGCTCACCTATTGGAGGCGATACTATTCTACCATTTCTATTAGTACCAAAGGTTTGGTTGCCTCCTGCATTTAGCTTACTCTTCTTTGATCTGCTCATCACATTGCCCTTTTCATACTGTTCAGCCTTTTTAGTACATTTCTTTGATAAACATGTATGTTCCTTGGGTGTAACTGGCCCCCTTTTTCCAGTAGAAGAATTATTGAGTTGATAAGTTGACCTACTTCTAGTAACATGAGTGGTATCATTAGCAACATGATCAGCAACTTCCACAGTGTTGAATAAGGCTTCCATAGCTTCGGCAGCTATTTGAGTATCTAAACCTACGTTAAACATTTCCTGCCCATCTCCATTACCATTAGGTCCCATCTCTCCTTTGGAGCAATTAGCGTTAAACTGTTCATCCAATTCATTAGCAATATTCTTTGATCTGCTCATCACATTGGCCTTTTCACGCTGTCCAGTCTTTTTAGTGCATTTCTTGGATAAACCTGAAGTTTGCAAATCTGATTTTACACCAACTTTTTTCCTGTCATACTTCCTAGTACGTTCCTTTGGTGTAACTGGCCCCATTTTTCCAGTGGAAGAGTTATTAAGTTGATTAGCTGACCTACTTCTAGTAACACGAAAGGCAGCATTAGCAACATGATCAGCAACCTCCTTGGTGTTGAATAAGTCTTCCATAGCTTCAGCAGCTATTTGAGTATCTAAACCTACATCCAACATTTCTTGTCCATCTTCATTACCATTAGGTCCCATCTCTCCTCTAGAGCAATTGGCGTTAAATTGTTCATCCAATTCATTAGCAAGATTCCTTTCCAACTTTCGTGTGGCTTGTTGCTTATTGTCATCCCTTATTTTCAGATTATGCATCCCCAGTTTTGATTCAGAGTGAGCTGCAGCTTTCCTTCTAATAGGTAAACTTGATGGTTCATCTTCCTTATCACCTTTTGGTCGGCATGATTTGACCTTCTGGCATCCTGGCAAAGATCTTGGCCTATGAGTTTCACCTTTAAAGAAATCTTCCTTTCTTCTTAGGTATATACCTCCTCCACCTTCATCCTCGCAGTTATCATCCCAGTCAAAAATCTCGGTTTGTTTAGCTTTGCTTCTATCATTAATTCTCTTGGACAAACTTTGTAACCCTTTAAAGCAAGGAAGAGATTTTGACTTTTTCTCCATATTCGTAAAATAACTAGTTTTCTCATTGAACTCCATAAAATTACTATTGAGAAACCTATCTACACACTCAAGAGCCTTGTTCTGTGATAAATCTCCGGGTTCTTGAGAGTTAACATAGCTTAGCCTTTCAAATTCTCCATGGTATTCAGGAGACTTGTCCAAGCTATCTCCTTCATTCAAATCATTGTTGCTAATTGAAGGCCCATTTGTTTCAACAGGTAAATCATCATTGAAAAGTTTTCTCACGGTTGTTCTAGCAAAGTTAGACATAC